TACAATGGGTTGTGAGACTGTTGACTATTTACACACATAATGTGGTTCTGTTTGGGCCTTGTGGCGAGATTTGAGCGAGATGGCTCTTAGGGTATTGAATAGTTTATTGTGCCTTGGTTATGGTTTTCCTGTCTATGGTATATTGTGCTATCCATTTATCCATGCTTATGGTCATGCACTTCGCGTCTTTGCTGTTGATATGCATGTGATTGTTGATTGTGAGCATCATGGCTCGAGTTATTCCATGTGGACCGGTGTGTTTGGATTGGGTCACGCGCCGCAGTGAAGTTGTGTTAAGATATGATCCTTTGTGCTTATTTCATGTGTTTTGATTCTCCCTTGTGGGATGGAATCATAGCATTTTGCCTTGGTGATTGTATCTGCTGAACTGGTCGGATGGTTCTTTTATTTGGTTCTCCTTTCATCTTTGGTTATATTTGAGTTGTTGCTTGTTTGGTGTGAATTGCATAGTATGTGACTCCAAGTGGCAGTGGTGTGGCATGTCAGTCAAGCATTGTGTACCAGGTGAGATGAGGCTATTGGACCCGGAATTAGTGTTATCGGATTCGGTTAAGGTATGTTGGGAAGAATAATGTCAGTAGTCAGCTTAGAATTTGGCAATGGTTCTTATCGGGGGAGCGAGCTCCATGACTTGTTAATCTGATGGGTGGTTATGAGTTTTTATGTGTTTCTTTCATCATTAGCAGTGTACGAAGGTTTAGAACAAGGTTTTATTTTATATGAGGTATGTCGTCGTACCGGGATTGTTAATGAGCAGCTATTGTTGTCTGAAGATATCACTATGAGCACATGAGTTATGTGGTATATCATGGGGTTAAGTTTTGGGAACATGGTTATGGCTTGATGGAGCTTGTTGAGATTGATACACTATATATATGCGAGAATCGGATCTTGTAAAGAATTTCGGATGTTAGAATTTGGTTCAAGGTTTATGGGCAAAGGTTGAAGAAAGAAGCTTTAGTAGGGATCGGCTAATGGACTTGTATGGATTGTGGTGACGTGGGACCACCTATGAGTATATGTATGATGAGTTTGTACGGTGATTTGATGACTTTGGAATGACTCTTGGCACGTTCGAGGACGAACATATGTTTAAGTGGGGGAGAACGTGCGCCCGACCATTTTGAGTATTGGCATTCTGCTTGGTAGTTTGAGGTCTTGAATAACTTCATATGATGTTTCACGACTTGCATGCATGGTTGGTCTTGATTTTTGAAAAGTTCGGGATTGTTCCGGAAGAGTGATTCTCAATTTGGAAACTTTAAGTTGGAAGAGTTGACCAAGGTTTGACTTTTGGGTAAACGACCTTGGAATCGAGATTTGATGGTTTCAATAGGTCCGTATGGTAATTTTGGACTTGGGTGTATGTTCGGATTTAAATTTGGATGTTCTTAAAAGGTTTTGGCTCTATTTGTCGAAAGTTGGCAATTTGAAGAATTGAAAAGTTCATAGGTTTGACCGGGAGTTGACTTTGGTGTTATCGGACTTCTATTGTGGTTTTGATACCTTGTATAGGTTAGTTTTGTTGATTGGGACGTGTGTGCAAAGTTTGGTTGAAATCCGGAATGTTTAAGTGTGATTGGGACACGTTCGCCGAAGTTTGAAGGTTTGAAGGTTAAGAGAATGATTTTGATCTTCGATTCATGGTTTTGATGTTATTTATGATGTTTTGAGCTTTTGGATAAGTTTAGATAACGTATTTGGTCATGATCAGATGTTTGAACGGGGTCCCAAAGGGCTCGTGTGTGTTTCGGATTATTTTGATCTTGATTGGTAGTTCTGTTACTGGTGTTTCGCACTTGTGGAGGATTGGTCACAGGTGCGATGCCGCTTTTGCGGAAAGATTATCACTTCTGCGATGTTGAGTTGGTCAGAGATTTATCACCTATGCGTATGAGGGAGCACATGTGCAAGATCACACTTGCGGAGTAAATGTTCGCAGATGCGAGATTGGTACCTGAGAAGAGAGGTCGCTATTGCGAAGCTGGGGGAGCAGGTGCAAAGGCGCTTCTACGTAAGATTATTCGCACCTGCGGAGCTATAGATGCTATTCTTGGTCCGCAGATACGAGGTTGTCCAGTTTTAGTGTAATTCGCAGAAGTGAGATATCGCTCGCAGAAGCGAGGTCGCACGTGCAACCAATTAGTTCACAGATGCGAAATCACTGGCAATTTTTTAAATTTCGAGGGTTCATTCATATTTTATTATTTTGAGTTTGGGAGCTCGGTAAGAGGCAATATTTGGAGGAAATTTTCACTACTACTTTGTGGATACGTAATTTCCACTTAGATTTGATTATACATATTGATTTCCCATGGATTTATACACTTTAATCATGGAATTTTGAAGGGAAAATTGGGATTTTCGCCTACACTTTAAGAAAGTGTATTTTGGGATTTTGAGTATCGATTTGGATTTGATTTTGGAATCTAATCATATATTTGGACTCGGCGGGTTATGGGACATAAGATTTTGGTGTTGGTTCCGGATTCGGGTATGGGGGTCCCGGGCTGACATTTGTTGACGTTTTGGAAATTCTTTAAAGATCGAAGCTTTATGGATTGTGATCATTTTCTATGGCATTGTTGGACTTCCTTGGTTGATGTTTGGCTAGATTTGAGCCGGTTTGAGGTGATTTCTCAAGGAATGCAATTTTAGAGCTTAGTACTAGCCCGGATGAGGTAAGTATCTTGCCTAATCTTGTTGAGAGAATAACCCTTAGGATATGACTTTGTTTGTCTAATTTAAATGTGTGAGAAGTGACATATATGCTAGGTTACGAGCGTATATGCAGGTGCTATATATGATTCATGACCAGAGTAGTCTTTAGGATGTGCTATACCTTGATTTAGATATTGTGCTTCTTGCTATCATGCTTTATATGTTTTTATGACTACGTAAACTCCGTGAATCATAGAGATCATGTGTAGGTGTTTATTTCCTGTTGAACATAATATTTGTTGTTGCATGTCGTATCCTCTTGATTTGAGTTGTATTTGTATGCTCGCACATGCATACACCTTAACATGCTCTTCTTCAGTCCATGAGTATGTGATTTGATATCCATTGTTCATGTACATGAATTCTTGTATATGCTTTTTGTGTGATATGAACTGAATCGGTAGCACGTGTGTGGTCCGTGCGGATCCGAGATATGATAGAACGTGAGTGGTCTGTGCGGTTATTATTATTGGTACGTGAGTTATCCGTGCAGCATGTGGATAAGGATCCATCCCCCTAGGGTCACCCTCTTATGTTTCTCTCTTGATGGTGTACACGCAGGTTGTGAGAAACTGGCGGGTTTCTTGTTGTCGTGGTTATGGAAAAGTGATTCTTGGTTGGACTTGGCATCTCTTCTCTATTTGAAAACTCCTTGGATGTATACATGATTTTACTGTATATCTTCTCTATATGCTAGCTGTGGGATGTATACATGACCTTATGCATATCTTCTCTATATGCCGCTTTACTTGATGAGATGAGACGTGGTACATATCTTCTCTATATGTGAATCTGTGTGACTTAGCTTGTTCAATCATGTATATCTTCTCTATATGCAATTGTTGAAAGGTTAATTGATATTTCATGCATATCTTCTCTATATGCAATTGTTGAAAGGTTAATTGATATTTCATGCATATCTTCTCTATATGTATCTGTTGAAGGATTATCTGGCATTTCATGCATATCATCTCTATATGCCAGCTTTGATGAATTAATGATGTTTGACGCATATCTTCTTTATATGTTGAGTTGCTGAACTGGAGTAGTATCTGGGTATATCTTCTCTTTATGCAATTGTTGACGTGTTATTTGATATTAGAAGCATATCTTCTTTACATGTTTAACTGTTAAGAGACTTGCACACATATTCTCTATGTGCACCGTTGGTGGTATCTGTATTTTCTGNATATATAGGGAGTATCCTTGACCTGAGACCTCGTCACTACTTCACCGAGGTTAGTCAGGATACTTACTGAGTACATGGGGTCGGTTGTATTCATACTACACTTCTGCACCTTGCGTGCAGATCTTGGAGTTGAGTTGTTATAGATAACGGAGTTTATCATTGGAGATGTACCTGCTTTCTGGATATAGCTACCACTTGTCCTTGATTAATTTTGGATTTGTACTCTGTTTATATATATTCCAAATAGATGTTGTATTTCTTTTTGTACCAGCATTGTAAATCTAAATCTTAGTAACTCATGATTTTTACTACCAATCCTTGGGATGTTGTATAGAACTCAACTGTTCGTATGCCTTGTTAATAATAATCTTTCATTTAAGTTACACTGTTCTATGGTTGGCTTACCTAGCATGTTGGAATCAGGTGCTGTCACGACCAGGTGGATTTTGGGTTGTGACAAATGAACATGTCGCACTAGGTTTTGCCTCAAATTACTATGCTTGCCAATCCAGATCTTATCTTTGTATTTGAGGATCCCATTATGCGATTTCAAGTCAACTGAAGTAGTGGGGTCAGTGGTAAGTGCATTATTGATTCTTGTGACTTCTCCATCACCCTCATAACTTTTCAAGATCTCCTCTATCACTTAGGTTGTAGTTGGATGACCAATTGATATATTTCCTTGGTAGTAGATGGTTCTAGCCTTCTTGAAAAGGCATCAACTTTTGAATTGTTAATTCCCTTTTTGTAATGGATCTCAAAACTCAAGCCCATCAATTTAGTTAGATCATTGTTCTCTAGTGTAGTATTTATTTTCTTTTCGTGCAAGAAATTGAGTCTGAAGTGATCCATCATAATAATAACATGATCGGTAACTAAGTAATACCTTTACCTATAAATAGCTTGTGGTAACGCAACTAGTTCCTTTTCATAGGTAAAAAATGCCTTGGTATTTGTACTTAAGGCCTGGCTGAGAAAAGCAATTGGCTTCCTTTCTTGCATCAAAACAGCCCCTACACCAATGGCACATGCATCCACTTCTACAATGACGGTTTACTAAAATCAGGCAAAGACAAAACATGAGTTGTATTCATAGTTTAAGATCATGAAAGGCCTTTGTAGCTTCTTCACTACATTGAAATCTCTTCTTTAGTAATATAGTCAGGGGTTTGCTAAGGACAACATTATTCTTAATAAACCACCGGTAAGCCAGCGAGTCTTATAAAACCCCTCAACTTTTTAATGTTGGTTGGTTGTGGCCAATTCACCATGGAAATAATTTTACTGGGATCAGTACTCACCCCGTCACCATTGATGATATGCCCCAAGTATTCAATTTGTGACTGAGCAAAGTCACATTTTGACCTCTTAGCAAACAAACGGTGGCTTCTTAACAATTCCAGCACCACCTGTAAATGTTCTAGGTGTTCCTCTAATGACAAACTGCAAATGAGAATGTCATCAAAGAAAATTAGAATAAACTTACTCAAAGAGGTCCAAACACTTGATTCATCAATGATTAAAAATTGGCAGAGACATTTGTTAATCCAAATGGCATCACCCTAAATTTTCCCAATCCATGATGGGTTCAGAAAGCAGTTTTGTGTTCATCTTCTGCTTTCATTCTTACTTGATGATAGCTAGACCTAACGTCAATTTTAGATAAAAACTTGGCCCTATGAAGATCCTCCACCATTGGGATGGGGTATTTGTTCTTAATTATGAGAATTCAACCTCCTATAATCAACACACAACCTCCAAGTTGAATCCTTCTTTTTGACTAGCAACGCAAGTGAAGCAAAAGTGGACTGACTGGGAGTGACAGTTTGTTCCTACAACATCTCTTTAAACATAATTTCAATAGCATTCTTTGGTCAAACGAGTACCTATAGGGCCTCAAACTAAAAAAAGGTTGAGCCCGAGGTACTAAAGGAATGACATGATCGCCATCCCTAGCAGGTGGAAAACTCTTAGGTTCCTTAAAAACATTTGAATAATTCTCTAACATGGCTGAGATTTCAGGGGGTACAACCTGATTCATTGGGGCAGTTCTTCCACTGAGTAAGGAAACTTCAGCTACCACTTGACAGACCTTCTTAAGCAGCATCTTATTAGATTCTTCACTGTCAACTGTAATCAACTAATTGTTATCCTACTGCCCCATTAATGTAACAAACCCGCCTTCTTTGACAAATGACAAACGGAGCGGTTTGTTGTTCAGTATCACATGAGTAAAATGATATATCCAGTCTATTCCCAATACTATGTCACAACCACCCACTTCCAAGATCCTCATATTAAATAGGAACCATTCTTCTTCCATTATCTATGCAAGTTAGGGATATACATATCATAATACAATTCTTGTTTATTTGCAACCCTCACTTTTATTGGTAACTTTAATGGCATTGTCTGCGATCTTAAGGTCTTGATTACTTGTGGACTAGGCAAACTATTGATGGAACCATTGTCCACCATAATGGTAATTGGTAATTTCTTCACATACCCTACAATCTTTAAGACTGAGGAAGAGCTAGTTATCCCCACATCCACACAGAATGATATTTCAGCATGCTCCTCATCTACCATATCTTCTTTTGCTTTCTCAAACACTTCTTCTTCTTGTATTGTCTGCATTAGTACTTCCTCTTCTCTGGTGGTCCCCATCATTAGGTTGAGATTCCTAGGCTTACATTAACGCCCAGGAAAATATTTATCATGATATATATAGCATAGATTATGTTCCTTCAGTGCTTCCATAGTGGTATTTGGTTTGAAGGGAGCTTGAGCCTTTTGAGTTGGATAAGTAATTCTGTAGGGTGCATTTAAAGGTTGTTTATTGGTTTGTGGAGCTGGGAGTTGTTTAGTGGCAAGGCAGATGATTTGGGATACGGTTTGGTATAATATGAAGAAGTTTCTGGGGCGATCATCTTAGTTAGGGCTTGAAATGACTTCTCATAGAGTTTAACAGTCTCAAACGTATCCATGAGAGATGCAGGGTTAGCAAGCAAGACTAAGGGTTTCAGTTCAGGTTTTAGGCTACTAACAAAAATGGAGATAAAATGGGGTTCATTCAGCAAAGGGTTTAGGATAAGCATATAACCCATAAGCTCTTCGAATTTCTCCTGAAATTGGTCCATGTCTTTAATTTGTTGAATCTTGTTAAACTCATCCACATTACTCATTGGCCTCATTTTTCTAAATCTCCTACATATCTCAGTATAGAATATTGGCAAAGACATTTGACATGTCTTACTAGTAATATAGATATCAAACCAAATATTTGTCTTATTCTTCATGTGAATAGTTGTATAATCCATCTTCTCAGATTCCAAAATTTTATATATAGCAAAAAAAACTCTCAGTTTTCCTCAGCCATCCTCTAGGATTGATGCCATCAAACTCAGAAAAATTAAGTTTAGCTTTAAGGGTATTATTATTATTCTGTAGCGGGTCTACTTGTGCCAATCCCTGAGTTGGTGAGGATGTAGGGGTAGGCAACAGTGGAGGGTTATGGGAAGAAGAGGGGGTCTGGAAAGTTAAAACAAGATAAGGATTGAAAAAATGAGAAGGTTGAGCTAGAGGAGATGTAAAACTATGACCCACGGGCCTAGAGGATCAGGAAAATAAGGATTGTGATGTCGGAAGTGTTGCAGAGGAAAACACAAGAAAAGAAGGAGTTATAATACCTGAGGACATGCCGCACTCATACGTATTTGGGTTTGGAGTTGCTTGTGACTGAGACTAAAGAGGTGTTGAGTTCGGCCGTCGATTATCAATATCTAAGCTTGCAAGAATGAGCTCCAATATTTTGTTTGTGTCCATATCTAGTCGTCGATTCGGCTCTTAGGTCTCTTGAAGCTATGAAGAGAATTGAGTTTGCTGGGTTTCAAGAGTTTTGAATCGCTTCGTCGTTTCGATCATAAATGACTTCAGCTGAGTTCGAATCTTAGTGACACCTTCCGTTAACCCTAGAATTTCCTAATTTTGAGACATTGTGAGCATGCTTACCCGCGCCCAGTTGGCTCTTATACCACTGTAACGAATATAAAACTTATAAGGGTTCAATAATGATGATTTCGCAGGGAAAATAGACATATAAAGATAGTGAGAAGAGATAGAATAGAGTGAGAGAGAAAGAGGTAAGAAGGAGGAAGATATTAATTCATTCATCAGATAATACCAAAAATATACAAGCTCTGCAAAATAGAGCTAAGGAGTATTCCAGAACTTTCCTACACCTCGCATGGAGCAAAGTAAAATAGCAAATGGCCTTGGGGGCCTAATTGACATAAATGTAACTTCAACTACAAAAGAAATAGGATTGAGTAGTAACACATTGAAACTTAATTTAGCTAACATCTTAACTACCCTTTCTAATTCGTCACATTAAATGAGCTTTTGCTACTTGTATAACTTCTGCGGCTGAAGCACATATGCAACTGCCAATTCCCTTAAAATTCTCTAGGTTTTCTCCTTTTCTTCTCCTCTTAGTCAAATTACCAAAATAACCATCCCAAAGTCCTGGGTTATTACATCAATAACCAAGTAGAGCCTGAACGAGACCTCGACTAATAAATTCTTTAAATTGTTGGGGAAAAAAGTGGGGATCAGTGAGATATTTCTTTCAACAAAAGCATACAAAAATAAACAATAGAGGAAAAGGTGAACAAAAAATAGAGAAGATGGTATTAAGGTATAGTGATGAAGAGGAAGACGGGGCGTGCTCTTTCAGTAAACGAAAAATAAAGAAGAAACTCTAAGGACTGGGTCTATCAGGTGATGAAGGTTTCAGAGATGGAGATGGTAATTGTAGAGGTGATGGTCCCTGTGGAGAAGAAACGAAAAAGAGAGAAAAATGTAAGAAAAGAAAAGGGTCCCAAAAAAATCTACTTGTCAAAATATAAAAAAGATTAGTTATTTAAGTGATAATTATGCATTAACAAAAAGATTAAGAATAATTAGTTGTATAGCGCCTAGTTAAAAAATGACACGTGTATAATTTAATCCTTTTAACCTTCCTTTTCACTTCACGCTCACCTTTTAGAAAGTGAATTCACTTTCTTTGTCACATCACCTTCCAATCCAAACAAGACTAGGGAAGTAAGGAATCACCTGCAAAGTCAGAGTTATAACTGATTTTTTGGGACAAGTTCAGAGGGTAACTTATATTTTTTATTTATTAAAATACTCGCGCGAGCATTGGTATAAACCTAATTGTTAATAAAAGAAAACCTCAAAAAAGCTCACCCTTTTTTTTTCCCAGAAGAAAAGAAAACATGGAAAAGCCTCGGAACAGCACAGGCAGAGTGGGTTCTATCTTAAAAGTTAAAAGGGCCAAAAAAGTGACCTCAAGTCCTCAGCCCCATAACTACTTTGCTTAGCTATTTTTAAAATTAGTAGTGTAGGAGCCAAATCTTAACTTAGACTCAAGGAATTCACAAAGCACGTGAAGAAAGCATGAAACAACTGACACAACCGCAAAGGTGAAGTTGCCATCATTACTAGTAGGCTTTCATTTTGACCACACAACTATATAACCCATGTTCTTCCCTGACACAAGGATATGCTTTCACCTCACCTCCTCAGTCCTATGTTTCTCAACTAGAAATTTCCAATCTTTCATTATAGAAAAATCTAGGTCCGCCAAAAAGAATATCCAAATATTAAAAAATATTCATTCTCAATATTCCAGCTTGCCTTAGAGCTATTGTCACCTAAATATCCTACTTATTATACAAGACATGTAAAGAAAGCTAATTGATCAAAAGTTTTGTAGGAGGAAAACAAAAGAGCAAATGATACTATGCTGAAAATAATGGCGTTAAAGATAGCACCATAATGCTTATCCAAGTATTGATGATTCATTCTAATGGCAATCCAGTATCAAAAGCTGGTCAACGGCCACGAATTACTCAACTTGAACTGAATAACTGGGTACATTAAAACAAGAAACATGCTCCAGAGGCTAAATATTCTCATCTTTATCTGATTGCAAGAACATTGACAAACCTTAACGAATAACATACCACACTAGAGCTGCAAATTACAAATAGACTACAAACAAGATGAAAAAAATTGTAGTAAATGCCAATAAGCTACCTATACAAACACAAAGCTAACTGCCACTCAAATTTACTGCCAAAAGGTTAGCTCAAATTTGATATCTTGAGATTCTTTTCCTGCTGATCTGTAAGCAGGCAGGGACCATAGTCTAAGTCAGAAGCACACCAAGATTCATTGGCTATCCCCACGTTTGGAGAGATGCCTTTCTTGCCCCAACCAGAGAGCAGACAGATCAGTCATTCTGTCATTGGCATGCTTGTTACAATTTTACAAAAAACCATTAGAGGCGTAAAAAAAGAGGATTTGTAAAGTAGAGCTTCTCAAGGCAGTATATGGGTTTTTCTTTGTGTGTTATTGTGTGCTACGTGTTAACCCACTCCGTGCCACAGTCCTGCAGATAAATAAGATATTATTTGAAGTTAAGAATACTTAACATCAGAAAAATAAAAAAATGTGTAAGTAACAATTTCATATTATGCAGTATTATATTCTTGCAAGGATGAATGAACTGTAATTGGAGAAAATTCAAACTGTTAGCAGCTTAATCAAATCAAAATTTTCTGTAGTAAAGGAAAGCACAATTAGCTCCATGCTACTAGGAGACCACGGCAACTTTCCTTGTGGTTGCACCTAATGATCCAGAAGCCTAATGTTTTAGCTAGCCGAACAGCAACAAGAGTACCATAAGCTGTCATGAATCAGAACTGCCTTAGGATAAACTACCTACCGTTTGAACTTCCTCCTGAATTAGCAGCAGAAATTCTCTGAAAAACAATTCAGAACTTCTACCAGAGTTGAACTTTAGAAGCAGAAATCCTCCGTAAAACTATTTTTCAAGACAAGAAAGTTATGTTCAAAGCTTTTGTGAGGTACAACACTTGTATTTGGAAAGCAGAATCTCTGAGTATCCAGGTTGCTCTTTCAGAATATCAGATGAAAGAAGATAGAAAAGTTGGTGGGTTCTTTGTTTGCAATAACCCCATACCACGGAGTTTCTCTAAGCTGATGTTGTCCGTTTTAAAGAGCAACCTTCTTAAGCTGCTGACGCAGCTTCTCAAAGAGACAGTGTCTCCTCCATAATTTCAAAATATTGGCCTCTGGTTTTAGGTAAAATTTAGGTAAATGTACCAAGTCCTTTAGGGTCATCGGGCAGAATTGGATAACTTCTTTGGCTTTATTGAGGGACTCCAATCGAGAAAGCCCTATAGTCGACCTACTTCCATCTTAAAGCATTGAAGAAAGGCAGGCAGCTTTGCCAGAGCCAATGATGCCAACCAACTCGACAAAGACATCTCTTTTCAACTAACATTAAACTTTGCGTGCCCCTG